GAACAATGAAGACGCTTACTTTCAAGCAATGCTTTTTGAATTGTCTGCACCGTCCCTCTTCAAAAAGAAATAAACACACAGCTTTCATTTCAGACCTGATTGCCTCAATTTAAGGTTATTTTATGCAGGATTTAATTGCTTCCCTTTCACGGCAGGTGCTTAGCACTTCCAAGGCGAATGAAGGCACCCGCTCAATATAACACCTGCCGGAGGATAATTGACGGATGCGAAAAAGAGTTTTGCAAAACCTCCACTTTTTGTACCAAACAAGGCATTACACTCCTTGACATTTATGCCACATTGGTTTATTTATTGATGGTGCTTTGACCTGGTTTTTCAAAGTGGCAGAACTCTTCACCCAGCACGCTGGCTGGGGAATTGTGGGATTTGAAATCCAATCCTCTTAAAGTTGTCAAGCTTAAAAAAAACACTGGCATAGTCCAATGAGTCATTAAGGCTAGGGGTTTCTCTAGGAACTACAGAAAATGGTTTAGAGATCTACTGGCATATCACTGGGTGGTTTGCAAAGAGCTTCACGAGTATCCATAGCCCCAGTTTAATCATTGATTGTAAGATGAAGACAAAAAACAAACAGATGCTCTGTCACAGCTGGCCTTTGCAGGCTCATTCCTGGGTTGAATTGTGCAGCCATGCGTGGCAAGCAAAGCCTGTGAAGCAGTGACAGCATTAATTCACACCACAGCATGGCCACAGATGAGCCTCCTCATGCAAAGATCTGGTTTCAACTTGGCCAAAGTCATCCCTTGTGTTTAGAATAGAATAGAAAAATAGAATAGAATAGAATAGAATAGAATAGAATAGAATAGAATAGAATGAACATTATGGATGGGGAAATAGAATAGAGTAGAGTAGAGTAGGATAGAAGAGAATAGAGAATAGAGAATGGAATGGAATAGAATAGAATAGAATAGAATAGAATAGAATAGAATAGAATAGAATAGAATAGAATAGAATAGACATTATGGATGGGGAAATAGAATAAAGTAGAGTAGGGTAGGGTAGGGTAGAATAGAATGGAATGGAGTAGGGTAGAGTAGAGTAGAGTAGAGTAGAGTAGAGTAGAGTAGAGTAGAATAGAATAGAATAGAATAGAATAGAATAGAATAAACATTATGGATGGGGAAATAGAGTAGGGTAGGGTAGGGTAGGGTAGGGTAGAGTAGAGTAGAATAGAATAGAATAGAATAGAATAGAATAGAATAGAATAGAATAGAATAGAATAGAATAGAATAGAATAGTTCTTAACCACTAGACCAAACTGACTCTCTAATTTATATCATATCCTGGTTATTTTTTTTTTCTCCCTTCTCTTTCCTCTTAACCATATCCCTTTCTTTTCTTTTCTTTTCTTTTCTTTTTTTTGAGAGAGAAAGTGCTTAACAGAGAAAAAATGGGTGGCAGATACTCGCTCTCAAGGACAAGAAATAAATTGATTTCCATGCAGAAATCTGTGACCTTTATCCTGTGCATGGCCAGGAGCTACAGAGGACAAATAGAAGAAGGGGGAAAGAAAAGCTAAATCAAAATTGGACCCCCTATCTCAATGGCAGCTAGAGAATTTCTCAAAATCCAAGCTTGTTAAACATGAATCCGATGTCACATTGTCTTCCCTAAAAAAAAAAAAAACTCCATGTGCACGCAAGTTCTGCCAGAATGCCCGATCCCCAGGGGGGTTTTGCTGGCGAGACCAGTAAGCTACAGTTTTGCCCACTCATTTCTGGAATCTTTCCACTGCCAAAATACACAAAGATCTTGAACATTTTAAAAATTTTAACAGTGTCACGGTGGGCTCGCTGCTACACAGCCTGGCTTGCAACCAGACAACTCTAATGAAAGGGGGCAAAGAAGGCACGGGAATGTAAGGGAAGTTTGGGAGGGAAATTTTGGAATGCAAGGGTGCCCACTGGAAGCCTGGGACAGACCCCACATGTCAAGGTCGGCCAGCTGGGGAAGTCCGAGGCAGACATATCACTCCCAAAATAAAGAGGTTGCAAGTGATTGGTGGACAATAGACAATGGGAAGTCCAGGGGAGGGGAAGGGAAAGTTTTCCAATGCTGTTTTCACGCAAAATTGTCAGAACTGGCTTTCCTACTTCGGTAACCACATGGAATCTTCTATAAAGTGATACTCTTGGTAAAAAAAAAATATGTCCCATTTTCTTTTGCTGTCTAACATAGTGGGACAGTTGACAAATAGTTTTGCTCCCTCCTTCAGGGGCAAAAAAGTGAATTTTCAGCAACCCCTAACTAATGAAACTTTACTTCAGCAACCCCTACCTAATGAAACTTCAAGGTAGAAGAAAAAAGACAATTATGAACAGCAGCAAGGCGGAAGGACTCCGTGACAGTGGTGATGGGACCCGTGTTGGAAGAGCTGAAGGACCCAGATAGAGATCATCATTAAAAATAAATAAATCCTGCTCTTAGTATAGGCTACACTCAGTGACCGTAATGGTATGTGGGAAAGACCTTGGGGGACTAGGTCAAGAGATGCTGACAAGGGAACAGTCAGATAAGAGATAGCATAGTCCTCGGCTGGATGATGGGTGGGGCAAGAGGCTAACATCATTATCATCTGTATGTATAAAAGTGTTACAGGGAAAGAAAGAAAGAAAGAAAGAAAGAGAGAGAGAGAGAGAGAGAGAGAGAGAGAGGGAGGAAGGAAGGAAGGGAGAGAGAAAGAGAGAGAGAGAGAGAGAGAGAGAGAGAAAGAAAGAAAGAAAGCTGCAATGTGATCCCTATCTAGTTTATCCCAGGAGGCCAACAATGATCTGGCCAATCTTTTTAATTCAGTGTCTCAAAACTCCAAAACGGCTTGACTTCAGAAATTTTCGGTGCTCCACTTCACTTAACAACCAAGTTGCTGGTCAAAATTGTGGTTGCTAAATGAGAACTACCCATAATGGACTAAGGTGATGGCGCAGTGGTTAGAATGCAGTATTGCAGGCTAACTCTGCCGACTGCCAGGAGTGTGATCCTGACCAGCTCAAGGTTGACTCAGCTTTCCATCTTTCCGAGGTCAGTGAAATGAGGACCCAGATTGTTGGGGGCCATATGCTGACTCTATAAACCACTTAGATAAGGCTCTAAAGCATCGTGAAGCAGTATATAAGTCTAAGTGCTATTGTTGTACCATTCCAGACAAATGGTTGTCCAATCTCTTCTTAAAACTTCCAGTGATGGAGCACCCACAACTTCTGAAGCCAAGCCGTTCCATTGATTTGATTGTTCTAACTGTCAAGAAATTTCTCCTTAGTTCTAGGTTGATTAATTTCCATCTGGCCCCTCTGGTGCTTTGGAGAATAGGTTGATCCCCCTCTTCTTTGTGGCAGCCTCTCAAATGTTGGAAGACTGCTATCATGTCAACCCGAGTCCTTCTCTTTGTTAGACTAGACATGCCTTACCGTTACCAAGAAATCACATCTGAACTGTTTTCATAAAATCTACGCTACCCAAAACTTCAGTAGCTCGTTTTTTTTCCTCCCCCAGGATCTTTAGATAGGCAAAGCAACTGGCAACTTTTTCAACCATGAAAACGGCAAAGGGATATCGCATACCGATCTTCATTGTCCCAAGAAATGAACTTTTGACCCAAATGAACATTTTCTTAGATTCCCCTCCTGTCCGTTTTAGGAGTTTAAAATATTAAAGCTCTATTCTGGGGAGGAAGGGAAAAAGAGCAGTTTTTGCATTCCCAGGTTGTTTTGATTCAGCATGTCTTGAAATGAAAAAAACAAACAAAACACCAAAACATCCTCAAGGCAAGCTTGACTTCCGTGAATTTCAACCGTGCATTTTTCTGGATGACTTTATCTGCCCTAATCTCAGATTGTCTTGGATTTACAAGTCCACCTACGTCCCTGGAATTCTCAAGCAACCCTCCATCAAAGTACAAACCAAGGCTAACTCAACTGAGCTTCCAACATCAGCCAAGGATCCTATAAAACATAGAAATTTCCCCTCCCCCCCATCCTCTACCACCTTCCTAATAGGAAAAAGGACATTGGCTCGTGTCTCTAGAGATTCTCCAACATCCAGATCATGGGTGTCCCAAAGGGGCTTTTTCCAAAAGGCAGCTGGACCTTCTTGGTATTTTTTTCTCCCCTTGATAACATTTCAGTTCTTCTGAAGAACATTCCTTCAGCTTTGATTGTCACACAAGACCACGGGTAAGGGATCTTCCAAGTACAGAGGGGATAGGAAAACAAAGACCAAGGTTATCAACTGAACGGAAGAAGCATCCTGGATGAGCAGTGAATTGTTTTCAAGGAAACCCCCCCCCAAGAAAGTCCAGTTGCCTTTTGGGGGGGGGAAAACCCACCTTCAGGACATTACATCTTGCTTCTTCGCAACCTTGTTTATCAGAATAAATCCCGATGCTGCTGAGAGTGAATCCCTTGCTGGGATCACAGAGGACAAACACTCTCCAGATTTCCTTGGGTTTGGTGGTCACAAAGACCACCATAAATAAAGGGGTCTTCGGAGTCTAGAGGAGATGGGAAAACAAAGACCAAATCCTGAAGGTGACCAACCGCTGGAATCAACCTTCTCTGACTAATCCCCCCCATCTCCTTAGGGATGCTAAGAGGCATATCTTCACTGTCCAGCCCGCCCCAAGAACAAATGTTTGAATTAAAGATTTCTGGGCCACCCAGCAAGTCAGAAACCACCCTCTCCCCCACCCCACACACACACACACCACCTTTCCTTTTGTTCCTAGGAAACCAACAGGACAAGACTGGAGCCGAGGGAGAAAGAGCGATGGGTTGTGAATGTCACAATCGCTTTCCTTTCCAAGGGCTGATGCAAACAGCTGGCCGGGGTTCCTTCCTTTCCTTCCCTGCATGCAGAAATTTCCCCTTTGCTTTGCCTGGAGGGGCGAGGCGGGTGTGCATGTGTGTGTGTGTGTGTGTGAGAGAGAGAGAGAGAGAGAGAAAGAGAGAGAGAGAAAGAGAGAGACCCAAGCCCCTTCCACTTACTTTTCCCGAACCCATCGGTGGGTTTCCACTCCGTCTCTTTCACCGCCCCATAGCTCCTCGGCGCTTTCTCGGCTCCCAAGCTGCTGGAGATGGGTTGCTTTAATTCCATGCTGTTGTTGGATGCTACCTGGGCCCCCCCTGTTTGCTCTTCCTTCGAGACTTCAGCCGGCCTGGGACCCACTTCCTTTTAGTCCATCCCAGCTGGAGGGAAAAGAGAGGAGGAGAAGAGGAGGAGGAGGAGAAATGCAGGGTGGGAAAGGAGGAGGGAGGATCGCTCGGTCGCGGTCTTCAGGTGCTTGTGTGGTGGGCTGTTATTGTATTGTATCGTATTGTGTGTGTGTGTTTGTTTTTTTCCTTTAATTCCTGCAGCTGCCAGATTGGCAAGCCTGGCTGAGCTCACTGCATCCTTCTCTTGTGTTGGTACCCTAGGAGGAGAGAGAGAGAGAGAGAGAGAGAGAGGTGACAGGAATGCAGTGCGCAGACTCAGAGGGAAGATGCTTGGTAAGCCCTCCCCCTCCCCAAGGGAACACAGGGAAGGGAAAGGAAGGGGAAGGGAAGCAGGCAAACAATGGGACGCAAGGAAGAGGGGTGAAAATCCCAGGAAACAGCCTTGAGAATCAGGAAGGTGTAAAACAAATTAAAGCAAGCAAGAGAAGACCAGCTATGGATCTATGACTGCATCTTTGCTGCTCTCTGCTCGCTTGGGGGGGGGGAGAGAGAAAGGATGAACTCACCTCTTGGATGTGATGATATCCAACTATTGAGGGTCAACGAGGTAGATCTTCAGAGGAGCATGGCTTCCATCCTGGGAAGGGTACGGGTTCAAGCCAGCCTGCTTTGGGCCAGCTTTGTGTCCCCCCCTCCCCAAGAGACTGATTTTGATTGGGCTGGAGAGCAGGGTAAATTAATATTCAGACCCTGTTATTAGAGTAGATGTTCAGTTGGGTTGTACAACACGTAGGCCAGGTGAAAGGGGAGGGAGGGGGAGGGTGGAGTGTGATTCTGCCAATTGAATTGGGCAAGGTTTGGGCAGGTAGCGTGAGCCAAGGTGTTCTGTTAAAAGCATTGCATGCTATCTGTTAACAGGTGAAAAGGATTTCAATTTTGTGGGTGGGGGGGGAAAAGTCTAAATGAGGATGTTGAAAACGGGACATACGTAACGCAACCAAGAGGGCTAACTAGTAAAAGAAGTTTTGTATTGATGCTGTTGCTAATTGGGTAAATGTTAGAAAAATGTTTGTAGTTAACCTCTTTGTTACTAAAATACTAAGAACTGTATTAACCTAATGTTTGCAGAAGAAAACAATATGGGAGGAAGAGAAAATCTAGGAAAGCTGCTATGTAGAGTACAATATGATAGAAATTGGCTATTGTTGATTGTTGTGAAATGTGAACCCAGACAACGTGCTGTTTACTAAGCACCAGGTTGTAAGTTTTAAAAAAATCAATAATCTATCTCTATCTCTATCTCTATCTATCTATCATCTATCTATCTATCTATCTATCTATCTATCTATCTATCTATCTATCTATCTATCTATCTATCTATCTATCTCTATCTCTATCTCTATCTCTATCTCTATATCTCTATAAAATATATCTATATATTTTATAAAATAAAAGTATTGCATTATATTGGAGGGAAATACCGTGGCTTAGGCCACACTTGGAATACTGCATCCAGTTTTGGTCACCGCGATGTAAAAAGATGTTGAGACTCTAGAAAGAGTGCAGAGAAGAGCAACAAAGATGATCAGGGGACTGGAGGCTAAAGCATATAAGGAACGGCTGCTGGAATTGGGTATGTCTAGTTTAATGAAGAGAAGGACGAGGGGGGGACATGATAACAGTGTTCCAGTATCTCAGGGGCTGCCCCAAAGAAGAGGGAGTCAAGCTATTCTCCAAAGCGCCTGAAGGCAGGACAAGAAGCAACGGATGGAAACTGATCAAGGAGAGAAACAACCTAGAACTAAGGAGAAACTTCCTGACAGTGAGAACAATTAACCAGTGGAACAAGCTGCCTCCAGAAACTGTGAATGCTCCAACACTCGAAGTTTTTAAGAAGAGACTGGACAGCCATTTGTCCGAAATGGTATAGGGTTTCCTGCCTGAGCAGGGGGTTGGACTCGATGACCTTCAAGGTCCCTTCCAACTTTACTATTATTATTATTATTATTTATTATTATTATTATTATTATTATTATTATTATTATTATTATTATTATTATTATTATTATTATTATTATTATTAACCTGGTTTAGAAAAGTGTTCGCAATTTCTTTGAATGTGTGTTTGTTTCACAGGCATTCAAGCTCGAGTTGACTCACCAGGGCTGGTTCAGACAATACCCAACATCCTCGTGGGGATTGCGTGATCTGTCACCCTGTATTATGAACAATACGCTTTCTTTTGCAAACCAGTTTATGGCTTAAATTAGATGCAAATGAACCGATTCCTTTCGGCTTATTCAAGGAACAATAAAGTGCAAGCTGCATATCTGCCCTTACCAGATGTTTGATTAGATCGTAAAGTTTCTCCCTCTGCATTTATTTTCTTAATATTTAGGGCTTTGGGACAGACGTGCTATTGTACACAAACACATCTCTGTGTTTATACAAATCTGGTGCTGTCCTCCTGTCACGTTGTGGGTTACTTTTTAGACAGTCGGCGTTTCTTCAACGCTCTGGGTTTGAATAAAGGAATAAACAGATGTAGATGTAGATATATAAATGTAGTTACAGGTATAGATGAAGAAATACAGGTAGTCCTCAACGTATAACCACAATTGAGCTCAAAATTTCTGTTGCTAACCGAGACATTTGGTAAATGAATTTTGGCCCTATTTACGACCACAGTTATTAAGTGAATCCCTCCAGTTGTTAAGTTAGTAAAACGGTTGTTAAGTGAAACAGGCTTCCCCATTGACTTTGCTTGTGAGAAGGTCACAAAAGGGGATCACATGACTTCCCGGGACACGGCGACCGTCATAAATACGAACCAGTCTGAATTTTGATCACGTGACTATGGGGGATGCTTCAACGGTCACTAAAAGTGACAAAATGGTCATAAGTCCCTTTTTTCAGTGCCGTTGTAAGTTTGAGCGGTCACTAAACGAACTATTGTAAGTCAAGGACTGCCTGTATAGATGTTGGTGTAATGTATGTTATATAGGTGTAGATACATAAATGTAGTTATAGGTATAGATGTAGCTGCAGATATATACTGTAGAGGTAGGTGTATATACAGATTTAGAGGTAGATCAAATTTAAATATACACACTTATTCAAAATAATAAACTGACAAATAATCACATTACCAAAAAAGGAGGCAACAGTTTCTTGAGAATGAAATCAACAGGTTACAACAACAACAACAACAATAATAATAAAGTTGGAAAGGACCTTGGAGGTCATCTAGTCCAACCCCCTGCTCAGGCAGGAAACCCTATACCATTTCAGACAAATGGCTGTCCAGTCTCTTTGCATCACGTGTGTTGCAGTTGGAGTACAGTGAAGTGATACACATTTTGCTCCGTCCATGTTTCTAGTCCCTATGTTAAAGGGCTGAGATGGGCTTAGGTTGTTTGAGAGGCCAGGATAATAATTTAAGGAAGTGTTTTAATGGCATTCTGAGGAAACAGGCCAGACAGCATAGTGAGTCACAGACTTAAGTAGCGGGCGGTGGTGCAAATCTGCAGCTAATCTGGGGGAGATGATTGAATTATTGGGGGTGGGCTGGACTGCCTGCTGGAAGCCACCCAAAAAAAATGGGGGAGGAAAAAAAAATAATGCCATCTGGAGTAGGATGGGAGAGAAGAGCAGAGGGGTATGAAGGCAACCGCTGTCTTACAACAATTATATTAATCTGAAGACTCAAAAAAACAGCAGGACCATAAATTGCCCTATGAGTAGACATCCTTGCAATCTTGAAGGTCAAGAAAGAGAAAGTCAGGGATATTGATCACCCAAATGATACTACAAGGTGTTAGACAAGTCACAAGCCCTCCACTGCAGGGTGTGTATGCAATGAATATAATAGAATTTATTTATTAAATTTATTAGCCAGTCACCTTATACAGGATAAATCTAAATGGGTAGAGTAGAGTAAAGTAGAGTAGAGTAGAGTAGAGTAGAGTGGAATAGAATAGAATAGAATAGAATAGAATAGAATAGAATAGAATAGAATAGAATAGAAGGAATGGAGACTAGACTAGACTAGACTAGACTAGACTAGACTAGAATAGGATTGTTTATGGATTTAATTGTATGACCATATCAAAAACCCTAAGCAAAGGATAGGATGGGATATAATCTTCATTAGTTTAGTTGTTTGGCCCTCTCATTAGGACCTTTCTTGCCACAGTTGTTAAGTAAGCACTGCAGTTGTTAAATTAGTAACACAGTTTTTACATGCATCCGGCTTCCCCATTGACTTTGCTTGTCAAAAGAAGACCACAGGACTCTGGGACACTACAACAGTCATAAACGGAGGCCAATTGCCAAGCATCTAAATTTTGCTCACAAGACCATGAGGATGCTGCAATGGTTTTAAGTGTGAAAAACGGTGACCTCACACTTTTTTCAACTATGAACAGTCACTCAACGAAGTTGAGGACTACCTGTAGTTTCTTTTGCAAAGTCTCTCAGGCACATCTGCACAATTATTGCACACTTTGTCTCCGTAGCCCAGTGGTGTTTAGCATTCCGTGCCAAGTCGTCCTGTCAAGGTTGCAATGTTCATGAGTTTTGCCACTAATATGGGTTTTGAAAAGCAGCTGGTGGATGAAACGAGAGCGGGCTGGACTTAATTCTTTGGATAAACCAAAGGGAGACTTCTATTCCCATCGCCCAGGCCCTAACGTTGATCCAAGGGAGGGGAGGTGTGTTGAAACTCCATCCTGCGAAAACCTTTCTCGTGATATTATACAGGCAGGTGCGCTGACGTTCCTGATACAAGATCAGAAGGAAAATCAACAGAGGGTGCTTGGGCTCAGGGCTGGCTTTGTGTGTCATGTATGTGTTGTGCGTGTCATGTATGTGTTTCACTTTGAGAGCGGGCAACTAAACTTCATTTTTGATGTGTGCCGTTGTGCCCACAGTAAAAGAATG